GTGCATAATGTGCTTTATGTGCACAAAGTTAAGATTTTATTAATAAATTTGGTACACTATATAGCTAGAAATCTTGTGAACTTCATGCATATTTTTAGCTAAAAACATGTGAAAACTTTTAAAAACATGTGCTTATGAGCATATTGTGCATATAGATTTTATACACTTAAGATTATGAATTATCATGGTTTGAGTAATTATTACAACATTTGCAATTATTGATCATTTGAATTAATGTCATTATAAATTGATCATCAGATACCCTGGCAATGGCAAAAAAATTCGGGTTATATGATAACTAATAAAAATCTTTAAGTTCAATTAGATTAGAGTTAGAGTTAGAGTAAAGATTAAGATAAGTGAGTGCTATAGGTAAAATTATCTTTCTGGTATTTTTTGTTAGTACACAGAAGGTTGTTTTTTATGAAGTTTGTTGAGAAATAAGCGATTTCTTCTAATTTTCTTTAGAGTGAATATTTTTTTTGAATTTTCCTGATCATATAATATTACACTAAACTGGAAATCGTTATTGGCTAATTTGCTACAGATCATCACATGATCCAAATTTTTTGCCATAGCTAGAGTTGTTTCCTTGATCATCAATACATAAAATAGAGATATGCGGTAATTTAATATTAACTAAATAAGAGTGGCAAAAATGATCTTTGGACCCATAACTTCCAAGCAATTTTTAGATTGAGACATTAAACAATTCACAATAAAAGTTATAGCTTAAATTTTATGTGGATCTAAATTTTATATCAATATACTTTGGCCATTTCGACCTGGAATTTAGAGATCCTTTAGTAAAAAATTGGTGTTGCTATGACTCAGCATCAGCTGCAGATACTATAAATATTGAAGCCACAAATTGTATTATAGCTAGAGCATGACTTGGCTATAACTCAAGTTGTAGTAAATAATATCAATAAGCTTTACATTAAATATTAGACCATGCAAAGTTAATTTTTTGTTTAATATTATCTGCTGACCCATTTTTTAATTTTTTTAAAATTTTTTTTTTTTATATTTCAATTGTACCAATTATTTGATTTTTCTATTTATTTTTTCTGTAATTTTTATCTAGTATCACCTGATGTCCCAGAATTATCCAACAGAACTGATAGAAAAAAATAACAGCTAACCTAATTTTCTAATTCCTTATTATGCAAAACAAGAATAATTTTGCATAACCTTAATATACAAACATAATTCTATTAATTTAAAGTAGATTTTTTAAAAAAAATAAATCAACCACCTGACCCAATTTTTAGATTTTATGTAATATTAAACAAAAATTTTACTTTGCGTAGTCTTATTGCATTGCTATAGTAATAATGATTTAAAGCAATATAGTATTTATACAAGCATTAACAGCTCTAAAAATCTTTAATGGATTGAAATTGGTCTACAAACTCTGTTATATAATGCCAGGTTTTCATATTATAATTCAATTACATAAGTATTTTCTTATATATTTAATCAATTGAACAATATTGATCAATATATATATTAATTAATTTTTCATTTCAATTTTTATTCATATAATTTAAAGATCCTCTCAAGCACATAAATTATATGCAAAGTTCAATAATTAATTAGTAGAAAGTAGAAATAGGTTTCATGCATATACATAATTTCTCAATTGTGTGCATTAATACGCATTCATGCATATGATTCGGAATCATGTGCATTTTATTCCATCTAAATTTTATATAGAAAAATTAATATATATTTAATTTAGGCCAAAGTGTATAATGCTAGGCAAAATTAAGAAATAGGAATGAGAAGTTTTAAAAAATTTTGAATAAAAATAAAAATGAGAAGGGTCAGGAAAAATTTTGGCAAATATTCAATATTTTCCAGGAGATATAACATCAAAAAAAAATTATATTATGCGAAATGTGCATATTAATGTGTATTTATGCATATATTATTGTAAAATGCACATTTTTCTATCTTTTGTGGAAAGTAGTTTAACCAGTACATTATCATGATAAAAAAAAAGCTGAGGCCACCTTTTTTTTTGTCAGGCTTTAACAAAATTACTTTAGAGATTGCTTCAATTAATCATAGTACTTATGCATAATCTTAATAGCTATCTAATCATGTTAAAAGTACCTTTAATCTAAGATTAGTAATTATTCATTGGTATAATTGGTCTAGTTTTTTATATAAGCTGTTCACATCTCATTTAGCTTCATATCCACATTAGTTTGTGTAATTATCATCTGCCAAAAACACTTCTAAATTATGCAGATAATTATGAACAGGTCTGTGTGATATAGAGTGTAAAATACCTTATTTTTAATATCTATTCCAGTGTTATCTATTAATTAGAAAATTGTAATAGATTGTTATATGTTTTTTAAAAATCTATACATCTAAAAATCATATGATGTTTAAATTATATTGATATAAATATAATTATGCAGCATTTAGTTGTATACATAATATTTATTTATCTAAATTAAAAACTATCTATAACGTATACTGAAAATGCAATAGTATTGTGTGTCCAAAGCTATTATTAAAATATCAATAAGCTTATAATTGACAACCAATCAGAGATGACAGTGTAGATCAAATATAGATATAAAAACAGTATCCTCTGCTATGCTCCAGGCAATAACTATTGTATTGGAGTTGTCCAACATTTTCTATAACAAACATATTTGTCTATTGTGAGGAGCTAAATTGAACTCTACTATCGAAAAATAGCTTTACAAATATGAACTAAGGCTAAACAAATCCAAATCTACATAATAAACCACCAAAACTACCAAACTCTATCTAGACCCTAATGGTGGAAGGCATAAAAGAAGGTGTGAAAAGACTTGGCTTGAGTTATTAGAGCCAAATAGAGCTCTAAACTATGTTACAAAGCTCTAATTCAGGGTAATAGGAGTATAGAATAGTTTGTCAGAAATTATGAAATGAATGTGTATAATTATATGTGCAAAACGTTTAACTAGCAATAGCTAAAGATATCTTTATAAAGAGAGATCCAATCAACTTACTGACAATTGTAGACACCACATTTCACTGACTAGTTTATATTACAGGCAGTTTATTTCACCAAAGTTCATTTTACAGACAAAGTAATTCTTGTCATTATAATTAGAGTTAGGCTAGAATTAAAGTTAAAGTTAGTGTAGTTATAAAAAAACATATTGGTGAGATGAGCTTTAGTGAAATAGACTATCTGTAAAATGGCATGTCAATGAATAATTGTAAGTAAAATATGAACTAATTCAGAATAAACATTTATATTTTCTGTGTTGTTATCTTCTTTTTTGAGTTTGTATCACCCTTACATAATTACAATAGATATTTTTAAATTTTATCAATAAAAATAAAATTTCTTAATTCTTAATTTATAGACCCGGCCAGGTTATATAAAGCAAAAAAATTATTTTGTATAGCCTGACTTATTTTTATATTTCATAAATTCTTTTAAAACTCTTTAAAAGAACAATTAATCTCTTAAAAACAATAATATTCATTATCTTCCAATTTATAACTAACATATTTCAATATTGTAAATTAACACTAAACACATATATATTTCACTTAGTTATAACTCTTGAATAATTAATTAATCTATACATATTTTAGATCTAAAGATTAAAATGATCTTAAAAACATCTCTTCATTATATAACATTTTAATTTTTACTTCCTGTTCCTGGTTTTATAGAACTACGTTGTGCAGCTACTTATTTTATAACTTTTGTTATATTGTAATTATATCTTATACCACCTTTTGGAGCGCTGCTGTACTATAGTTGTATCATAAACTTTAACCTTTCTAATTAGTTGCCTATTATATACTCCTTGCCTTTGTAAGTTTTACAACAACCTAATACCTACATTCAGACTTACTTATTTCTCTGATTCTTTATCAGTCTCTCTTTTACTTTTAGCCAAAAACTTTTAAAGATCTGTCTGTTTAGGCTTTAAATACCTCACAGTTGCCCTCTTCTTGGTATATACTTTTAGAGTATATATTCTTTTCCTTGATATATCTAAACTAGCAGTTTAGCTAATATGTTTTCTACTAAAGAATCTGGTTGTTTTGTTCTCTAATTTTGGTCTCTGGTTTCAAATTTAGCCTTCCTGCAACACCATCAAAGATTGCCACTATCTTTAAACTTGGAACTTTCCAAATAGTTTTTGGTTATTCTGGTTTTCTGAATTTATTGTTTATTACTAGATAGTGTAATCAAGATTACAGGTTTGATTCTAGATCTAACAAATAATCAATAACTATTAACAATAATGCAAACCTATTTTTTAAAATGTTGTTTATAAGATTCAAACACTAGAACTGTCATTTGGAGAGAGTAATAATTAGACTTCTATACTAAGTTACTACACCCCAAATATTAAAAAAAAAATAAAAATAAAAATAATAGAGAAGATAATTATATAAAGGTATAATTATATTAGTATCTGTTATTTGGAGATAGTTTTAGATACTACTTGCTAACAGGTTTAGAGTTTATTATTTATTGTAGAGATAATATTTATTTTTTAAAAGTAGTTGATAACAAGTTTAAAGTTTATTACTTACTATATAGAATTATTAGTAGTTGCTTGGCTTTACAAATCTTATTACTTTAAAAAAATTTCTATATTTATTAAAAATAACCAATTGTCTAAATAACTTATCTATATATTTTAAAATACTTTTTTGTTTTTTTTTTTTGTTTTTTTTATTTTGTTAAATACTGTCATGGCTGACTTTATTCGGTATAAATTTTTGTTACTGAAGTAACCGTTATATATACTATGTATAGTAGTACATTTTTAGCATATGAGAGTACAAATAGCCACATGTGCAACTTTTGAGTGCCTATTTAAGTAGTCCACCAAAAGTTCTACACTAGCTGCTGTACCTATAACCCAACTAGGAGCTTATTTATTTAAACCCTCTGGCACCCCAATTCTGCACTACCCTATTAAGTCTCATAACCATACCTTTATGCTACAACCTACCTAGTTAATATCCAAATAGAGACCACCCAGGTGACATTCCTCTACTGGTTTTACCTTTAATTGGATTATCTCGCTAAAATTAATCATTGGTATTACCCAAGGAGAGGCACAGTAGATGCCTCCTAATTCCTTTCACGTCCCA